CCGCCCGTGTGACCACACAGGGACCAAATGCCTAGAAAAAGCCGAACGAAATGCCTCAAATTTTTGAGACTTTTGGTCCCTGTGTGAGTATGCCCTCAGAAATAGTTGGTTGTACAACTTCACTCATCAAGTTCAATCATCTGGATTCGAACACAGGTCTGTATTTTCAACAGTTCATGAGTGTACCCACTGAGCTCGGCTCTTGGGTGCTTACCACGGTTTCATCACTCCTTCTGTCAGTTTTCCGCCAGATGGGGTCTCGCTCCACTGCTCTAGAAACCGGCCATTTCTTGAGTGCGGCACCGCTCCACTTACTCGAGACGCCAGGTCTGGAATTCGGGTTCTTGAGCTGTCAGTATCTCCTCACGAAAATGGCGAGAATCCGTCGTCGCTCCACTACCTCATGAAACGCACTCACGAAAATGCATTTCTTAAGTTGGCAGAACGTCCTCTCCCATGGCACTCTTGACAATTCGAGAGCTCCTGCCTGCAGCGGCAGGAATTTCAAGGGAGGCATCGAGGACCTTCGAAAGTTGAGCATTTTTTTGGAGTGCACCTGGAGTCTGGGCAGACAACAACGTGCTGCCGGTGTTGTGCAGCTCTCTCAAAGAGCGGTCTGACATCCGAGAGGCCTTCTTGAGTTTGACCTTCTAGAGTAAGAGGCTCGCCACACAGGCTGTCGAAAACCAGGTTTTCGACAATTTTGCATCGCCACACAGACTTTCGAAAAATTGCGGCTCAAGAAACTTTCGACAGGTGTCAGAACGGTCCTTTCGACAGCCGCCCTCCAGCAACTGTTTCCACCAGCCTGCAGGTGACGGAAATTAGACAGTGGCCCGCTGACCTTTTGAAAATTGCGCTCGAATTTGCGTTGTCAGGGACTGTTCCGTCAACTTCCGTGAAACCCCTCCGCCTGGCCATGACCAAAAACCTTGCCCCTCCACAGCCTGTGGCGAAGGGGGGGAAAATTGTCCCTGACTGTAGAAAAATTTTGACATTCTACAGCCGGTGTGGCGAGCCTCTGAGTGGAGCCATGTTCTCTTTTTCAGTCGTTTCTAGAGTCTGACAGCTCTAGACTCACTCTCGAAGATCTTCGCGAGTCTAGAGTGGTGGAGCGAGACCCCATGGTGGGAGAGGTACACTACTTTTGGTAATAGCCTGGCAGTCATGCGCGGTATCATCACATGGTGGCATGATTTATCATTTGCCGCACCACGGTGTGGACTGATTAACAGCAATAAACATAAACAGCGGTCGAAAGGAGACAAGCCAGGCGGACCGACACGAAACAGTAACCGACACGAAAATCCACGAGTCCTTGGGCCTCGCTGCACTACGCTCGAAAGGTGCAAAACGAGAGTGAATCTTCCGCTAGAACATGGAAAGATACAGCGACATGATTTTTGTCTTTTGTGCATTTCAAGAGTAGTGCAGCGAGGCCCATTTTCCGTTTGTCGTTTCTATTCTTTTCAAAAAGGGGGACGGGCCTTCGGATATCATCATCAAAACTGACCAATCTGATCCTTTCAAATCAGATCACATCAGACATCCAACTAGTCTATATATATGAAACTCCGACGAAACAGTTTGTCACAGCCCCCTTGATTGTTGTCCTCCTCTCCCTCTCTGCCTACGGTTTACCGGGCAGTTCTATTTGACAATATATATATCGTCACAAACAGATATATATATATATATATATATTCTGCAGACTCTCCGACGAAACAGTTTGTCACAGCCCCTCGTTTGTTGCCCTCTTCTCCCTCTCCGCCTACGGTTTACCGGCCAGCTCTGTTTGACTATATAGATTAATTTCATTCTGTTCCCTGATTGCATCTGGACTCGAGCTTCGATGTAATTAAGAGTTCATGGGTGTACCAACTGAGGGCATACTCACACGAGGACTTTTTACTTATTTGGACGGAATTGCGGCCAGATGCATACAGGTGTGGCTGAAATTAAGGTCTGATGCGTTCTGGGAAAGTGCTACCGTAGTGTGAGTATGCCCTGAGCTGGGCCCAGTGGTCTTCGAACTAGTTTACCGATTTTCTGATCGAGAAGTACCCGAGCCAGCATTGTTTGCCAATTGGTCAATTGGGCGAAACGCTCAAGGACCTCTGTCCACTACTATCGAATGTGCAAAACGAGAGTGATGAATCTTCCTCTAGAACATGGAAAGATACACCACCATGATTTCTGTCTTATGTGCATTTCGAGAGTGGTGGAGCGACGCCCAAATAGTCGGCTATGCGTTCTCACTGAAGATTTTGAAAAAAAGAAAACGACAGCAATGATTGGCAAGTCCCATGATTGGCAGGTCCCAACGCGCGCGGCTGACGGCAGCATGTGGAGGGACCAAGCACGGTCGGCAACCTGTTAACGACCTTTTTTTTTTTTTTTTTTTTTTTTAAATGTCAACGACCTTTCGACCAGGCCATGCGACGTCTGTTGTCCGGCCGCAGTCAGGGGCAGACCATCGGGCCTCGCTGCACTACTCTGCAAATGTGCAAAATGAGACTGAATGCACCCGTGCAGTATGGAAAGATACATTGCCATCGCTTTTGTCTTTTGAGCATGTGGAGAGTAGCGCAGGGAGGCCCATTAGCTCGCTAATTCCTCTTGTGATCGCAATTTTTTATTATAAGAAAAGGCTAAACCAATTCAAGTACCTGTGGAATCTGGACAGGACGGCCTTTCAGGCCTTTGTTATTGTCATTACGGTATTACGTGGAACCCCGTGCTCGAAGCTTCAACGAGGGAACATGCGGCAGCCGCACCCAGCAGCAGATGCGATACCTGCTACAGCAGGTGGGCGATACCGGCTGTACCTGCTACAGCAGGTGGGCGATACCGGCTGTACCTGCTACAGCAGGCCGGCGATACCGGCTGTACCTGCTACAGCAGGTGGGCGATACCGGCCCGGAGTGAGCCGGTAGCATCAGGACCGAGCTTCTTCGATGGGCCAGTCACTGTGCCTCCCCTCCGGTCCCCTCCCCCTATGAACATCAGCAGTCTCTGCTCAATGCCACAGTCTGTGCTCAATGCCACTCCGCGGGACCGAAGGCATATCTCCAGGTGGCGGGGGCCAGGCTTACCCAGGAAGGTGCATGAGGCCAATGGGGATTGAACCCAAGACCTCCTAAATGCGACTTGCCTGCCTTACCAACTGAGCTAGGCCGGTGGATTTGTTTCTCTTTTTTTTCTCGTCTTCTTGGTATTATGCATCTATCTTGGCCGCTGGATTGTCGCAACATCAGTCGTTGATTTGGTTATAGGGTTTATTTATTAGCGGGTAACTACTCTTTTTTTTTCCGTTCTTTTTTTTTAGCGGGCAACATCTGTCGCAGCTCGTCGTCGTCGCCCACTGACTGCGGTAACTATCGCATTGAGCAGGCTGTGGCCTATAGGTAGATGCACCAACCCCCATCGGCCAAAAATTTTGAACGCATCTGGACAACGTATCTGTGCAGATGCATTCAGAATCTTGGCGGATGGCGAATGGTTCGACTATGGTGGAAAAGGCGCCTTGTATGGGAACTTCCTCGTGAAACTGAACGGTGAAGATGCGCATCATTCGAGTTGAGGGTATGGTTACACCTGGAAGAAGGAAATAGGAGCAAAGCCCATTGACTGGAAAATAACGTAAAAGTAGGAAGAAGGAAACGGTGAAGATGCGCATGTTGAGAGTAGTGAGAGGCCCACGTGAAACTGAACGGTGAAGTTGTGCATGTCGGAAAAAAAAAAAAAAAAAAAAAAAGAGAGTAGTGGAGCGAGGCCCAGACCCCGCCATGTGTGGCGTTGGTGGGGGCTAGGGGGAGGTGCAGTGACTGGCCATTGCTCGGCGCTAGCTAGCACCGCCGATTTCCTTCCCCCCCATCGGCAATGCCTGCCCACTCCTCATCACCGTGATGAGGGACTGGTACAGCCTTGCTCTCGCACCACAGCTGTGGTCCCCACCTACCCCGTGGGCTGGGGAGAGATCCGGGTTGGTTGGTGTTCCCCCGTACTATACATAGACTAGTGAGAGGATGAGATAGGTGCATACTACCAAGACGATGAGATAGATGAGATAGATGAGAGAAGAATATAGCTTACTTTTAATTTAAAAAAAAAGAAAAACGAAGAAACGACGGGACGGTGAAGGCAACGCAACTTGTAGTTTTCCAAGTTGAGGGCATACTCACAGTAGCACTTTTTCACCTGTTTTTGGACGGAATTGAGGCCATATGGATACAGATTCGGCCGGAAATACACGCAGATCCATTTAGATAGTACTGCTACAGTAGTGTGAGTACGCCCTGAGAGTGTGTAACCGCCAGATGAGAAGCTGGAGCATAATTCATCATAACCGGCAAGAGGTCAGCTCTTGATCATTCATCATAACCGGCCGATAACCGGCCGAGGACCGGGAAACGGGAAACGGGAAACGGGAAACAAGAGGGGTGGGACATGTCGGGCAGGCACCACTGGTAGGACGCACTCTACGTAGTGGGCCTCGCTGCACTACTACTCTCGAAATGCGCAAAACGAGAGTGAATCTTCCGCCAGAATATGGAAAGATACACGGCCATGATTTTTGTTTTTTGTGCATGTCGAGAGTAGTGCAGCGAGGCCCTGTGTGTGTGTGATGAAGGACACAGCAGCGCGGCTGGGCTTCCGGCATTGGCTGGGCGCCCGCCAATGACCACAGAGATCGACCGCCCTGAGCCATTCTCGCCCGCCAGTGGCCACAGAGATCGACCGCCCTGAGCCATTCTCCCGCCAAACTGCCGCCTACGTAGAGCAGTGGATCGGGCAACGTGTTTGACTGACCGAATTTGCCCGCAATCTCGGTCGAATACGGCCGCAGGGAGGTCCTGGCTCTCTCATAAATCTTCGCCCTCGTCCCTGCCAGAACTCACTAATCCCGTCTCACAGTCTGGTCCTCCCCTCGCCAATCCTTTCCCCGAAAGTTTCGACCCTGTGGGCGCGCCGCGGATCGGAATCGCAACTGTGGTGGAGCTGAAAACCATTGTGATGAAACACTCCTCGCCATTCTGATGTAGCAGTGGAAGTCGTCTTTCGCGCGTGTCCGGCCGGCCCGCCCGCCCGCTCGCCCGCTGTGTTCCTTCTTAGTTCGTTCCGCTGTTAGGAGGATTCGGTTCGGCGGCACCAAGCAGAGTGTTGTGATATTCGGCGCCACCGAGCAAAGTGCAGTGAAAGGCGAAAGGGCAAATCGCAAAAGTGTAGTGGCGGGGCGACGGTGTCTCTGGTTGGTTGTGGTGAAAAGACAGAAGGAAACAGACGCGCGCGCACGTCTCGTCCGTCAGATCGCCAACAACACCGCGCCTGCTCGCCCGCCTGCCTGCTTGCCTGGCTGATAAGCAGACGTCGTGCGCGACGTTATATACGTTATCGGATCGCAATGGCGGCCGCTGTGTCTCAGGGGATCTCCTCGCAGGTCTTCTCCATCGCCGCTCGACAAGATCAGAGCGCCGTCCTTGCCTCTACTTCGTCGTCGTCCGATTGCGCCGCCACCCTTGTCATTCCGCGCTTCACGGGCTTACAGAAAAGTAGCACTTCAGCGATCGCGGCAGGGCGACACGTGTCTCATCGGGAGGGCTTCTCGAAACAGGCGCAGAGGCTTTCGCGCCGTACTCGTGCAGGAGGAGCGGTGACGGTGGAGATGGTGGTCGCAGTTCCTTCCGCCAACAAGGTCGAGTCCGACTTCGAGACGAAAGTCTTTAAGAAGGAGAAGATCACTTTGGCAGGCAATGATGAGGTGAGGAAGTGTTTTTCGACAGCTCCCTGCGTGTTTAAAGTTATCACGTACCAGCGTTTTATTAAGGTATAATAATAACAGTAATAATAATAATAATAATAATTATAATAATAATACACTAGGCAGGGGATTTTCGAATGAATGTGCGGCCGCCAGGAAGGTCAGATGCATGCAGGAAAGTCTTAGTGAGAGTCAGATGCATGCAGGAAATTCTTAGTGGGAGTCAGATGCATGCAGGAAAGTCTTTTACTGAGAGTATCATCGTACTCTTATACTCTTATATATATTATATTAGGGCAAAGAAAGCTCGAAAATTCTTCTGATTGAATTGCACAGATCGCTCCTTCCTCGTTCAGACAGTAGATGTCTGCCAATGCAGTCCTGGTGCGGATCACGAACCTGACCATCGTCCCCATCCAGATACACATTTTGACAGGAACCTGATGTCCCTCTCGATTTTTATTCCCGCAGTACTGTCGGTATCGGTTCGTTGTTACATCATTCATCATGGAAAAAATGTATCGTTGGCAATGTTTCTTTTTTTTTTGTTGCGGAATAATACTAATAATTATCGTCTCTCCTTCCTATTATTGCAGTCGTAATCGTTTCTGTTGCTGAATAATAATAGTAATAATTATCGACTGTTCTTCCTATTACTGCAGTCGCAGTCGGAACGATTGTAGTAAATGTGGTATGGGTCCGGAGGATGGTTTTGTTAATGCCATCATTATTTTCTTTATCGGTGTTGTAAGAGGCATGTTTAGTGATTTTATCATAGAAGTTGTGTAATAGACACAGACTCTTAAAAATAAATTATTCAGTTAAGTATCGGCATTACTAATAAAACGGACGAGGCATGTTTATTGATCTTATCATAGAAATACTGTGTAGCAGACAGATTCTTCAAAATAAATTATTCTATTATCGGCATTACTAGTAAAACGGGCGAGGCATGTTTATTGATCTTATGATAGAAATTCTGTGTAGCAGACAGATTCTTAAAAATAAATTATTCTAGTAGAAGTTATCGTCATTACTAATAAAAAATAAAATAGTCATATTTTGATAGTAAATGTGATATGGGTCGGTAGGATTATTAGTAATGACGACCAGGCGACGAATTCCCTTACGACCGTTTTATTCCTTATCGTATGCATAGATAACCGCCCAATGAATCGTAGGCAGAGAGGGAGAGGATGTATATATATGTATAAATATATCATATTATTAAATATAATATATCATATTTTTATATATAATTTGTTCATTGTCATATTTATTTTTATATATAATTTGTTCATTGTCATATTTATTTACATATAATTTGTTCGTTGTAATATGTATATGCATAATCTTTTTGAACTTTTGTTTGTATTGTTGGGAGAGTTTGTAGGGGATGTTACTAAAGGTCTGGCAATGTCTACGATGAGCCCACCACTCACGGCAATGTTAATGCCACTCGTGTTCCTCTTCTTTTTTTTTTTCCCATGTTCTGTTTATGAAGATCGGAAAGGTACACGTTGGCGGGCTGCGATCACGTGGAGGCGTGAATAGCACATTTTGAATGTAGTTTTTATCCTGAGGAATAAAATAATGTTAACATTACTCTTAAGTACCTAGGCTACCGTAGCGGCCTGTGATCACTTTCCCAGCGGGGCCAAAGAAATACATTCTGTTTGACTATGTATATATTCTCATATTGTGAAGAATTTCGATGTGACGCTGAGACAAAATTTCAGTTGATCGCGTTTTTTTTTTTTTTTTGCGGGGACTTTCCGTGGCTTTTGTCTCTGGGCGGGTCACCCAGGCAATCAAGGTGACTCGGTCGGCCTGACCCGTAGCCCGTTTAAGTGTAAGCACACTATATGTGTAATGCCTACCGCAATAAGTTTAGGCCGCCCGCAGCCCAGATAAGTATAGGTACACTATATGTATATAATGGCTACCGCAATAAGGTTAACATTATCAGAGGTAGTACCCCACTATTGACGATTGTTAACCCTAAATACAGTGACTACTGTGGATCCAATACTGCGACGAAAAACAAGGGTTTTTAGTTTTACTACTGGTAAAGAACGATTGTTATAACGCTGTCAATTCAAACTATGATAACGTTAATAGTAACCCTTGTTTTTCATCCGCTTAACAGTCGTCGTTACCGGTTAACGATCGTTTCATATGAACATTATCATAATTTGAATCGATTCAAAATTTTATGGTAATGTTACTAAAATACTAATATGATTTGTTTTCGAATTATGATAATGTTATTATTATGTATCGATAGCGTTACAATAATCGTCGTTACCGGTAGTTACCAAGTAACGATTATGTATCGATAGCGTTACAATATGATTTATTTTTTTATCGCTATATTGGATCCAGAGTATTGACTACTTTTGAGGGCAAGAAAAAAAAAAAGAGTGATGTCGGGACAGCCAAGCCAATGGTAAATTACGAAGTCAGGTTGATTGCGAACGTCGTCCCCGAAAACAAAGCACCCTGATCATGAATGTATCCAAACGATCCTTCCGGTCTGATACAGTCATGTTGAGGGCGCGTTGTGTTGGGGCGAGAGGCTAATAGTATGATGTAAAATTTATCCGAGTACTTACTTCAGCACGTGGGCCTTCGGTACGTGGGTTAGTCAGAAATTATTTTCTTTTTATTTATTTATATTTATTAATCATTCCATGGACCTGGGTGGTTACCGTGTTTGTTACGTGGATTCGTATGATTAGATCCGTGATGGCTTACTTTAGCACGTGGGGCTTCCGTACGTGGATTAGTCTGAAATTTCCTTTTTTTATTTATTTATTAATCATTCCATGGACCAGGGTGATTACAGTGTTTGTCACGTGGATTCGTATTATTACTTCTGTTATGGCTACATGGGGTTAGGCTGCCTCCTTTGATCATCGCTGTTATGGCAGGGGGTGTGCATCTGCGTTCGCGTTGTTTGGTAACTGCTAAGCCTTCTCTTCCTCTCTCTTCCTCTTCCTCTTCCTCTTCTTCTCCTCTTCTTTTCCTTTTGTTTTTTCCTGGCTTGTGCTTGTGCGCTTGCTTGACTCTGATTGATGATGTTTGCCAACGGTGATGATGTTTGTAGCGGGTGTAATTTCGGTCTCTTTTGTTGTCGTAGCAGCACGAGGCTCTTTTTCGGCGATCGTGTAGCATGGACGTGGTCCTGTGAAAGCTCGTTTTGAACGGATCCTTCAACCGTCTTTGCCTTAATTAGGTGTCATCGTCAAGTGATTTACATCCGTATGTAGCCTTTTTTAAAGGCTAGGTACGGCAGAACGACCTCGCCTTCTAGACGGGTTGAGAATCTGGGTAAATTCTTCCTCGCTCTAATCAGGTGTGGCGTTGGTTCGGCTTGGCATGGCCAACTGCGCGGTTAACGGCGTGTTTAACTGCGCGGTTAACTGCGTGGACAATGACTAGATGTGTGAGAGTGTGTGTGTGTGTGTGTGTGTGTGAGAGAGAGAGAGAGAGAGAGAGTATGGCGTCCTTCTGTCGGTAAGGTTAATGCGCTACTAGTGGTACGAGATTGAAGGATGATACGTGTTTCACTTTTTCAGGCAGTTATTGATTGAATGAGAAATTTGTTATCTTCTTCTTGAAGAATGTTTCGGTAAAGGAAATAAACGACGACCGTTCCTTATCTGGAAGAACGTATAGGGATCCCGCGTCCCGATCATTGAGAGCGTCTACATCGAAACGCTTATGGTTTCCATTTTGGAGAATATTGCCAGTAATAGCAAGTGCTAGTAGCATATGATGATCTGCACGGCTGTGGATCTCCATTTTGGGGAATATTATCGAGAGGAAAGTAGCTAGATGTGAGTAGCAGACGAGTTGCTCAGCTGTTCGTTTCCGTTTCTGGAAACGTTTTACCAGTAATGGCAAGTAGCGTATGACCCGCCCAGCTGCAGGCTCCCTTCCACGTGGGCAGATTCACTTGAATCGAGACCTGGCTACTGTCTCCCTCCGAACACAACGCACCCTCATTTTGGCCTGTACCTAAACGGAAATATAGCTTGTAGGCATTCATTATCAGGGTACCCGATGTTCGGTGGAAGACGTTAGTCAGCTAGTTGACGCACCCTGATAATGAATGCATACAGGCTATATTTCCGGTCAGGTACAGCCCAAATGAGGGTGCATTGTGGTCGGGGGAAGACTGTAGAGAGAGCTCAAGTACAAAGGGAAGACTGTAGAGAGAGCTCAAGTACAAAGGGATCTGGGTAAGCGTTTGAGTGCGCAACCGAAAACAATTCCGCTTGGGATCGCTGACCAAACTTGAGAAGATTGCCAAAAAGTCAGCGAGTGGAAAAAGCATTCCCACCAAAAATAAAATAAAAAATGAAGAAAAGCCACTCCCAGGAAACCGGAGGTAATGACGGACGTAAAAGCAGAAATGTCTGCTTTTTTCTTGTTAAGGACTTCTGCTTTTTTTTTTCCCCTTAAGAATTTCTCCTTCGTGTCGGCGAAGGGCAGGGACGTGGGAAAAAGCAGAAATTCTAAAGTGGGGAAAAAAAATCAGAAATTCCTACGTATATGATTATATCCCCGTGAAGAAAGTTGAAATTTCTAATTATATCATTTATTATATGCAGATTGCGGGTATCACGAGATGGGGAAGCACAGATCCGAATCATTGATGGATCCCCAGTTTTCTTTTTTTTTAATATAATTTATATGCAGATTGTGCATCCGGGGCGGGTATCACGAGATCCGAATCATTGATGGATGATGGATCCCCAGTTTTTTTTTTTTTTTTTTTTCCCTGATCCAGAAAGCAGCAGATTGGAAGGGATGGAAACGACTTTTCCTCTTTTCGAGTCGGCGGTCTTCAAAGTTGATTGATGTGGAGTGTAGGAGAGAATTCCAGGCGGCCTGTAATTCGAGTATGTGTTTTTTGGTGTGATCTGGTGAAGAAGCCATAAATTACCTGTGAAGAAGCCATAAATTACCTGATAAATGCATACAAGCTACATTTCCGGCTAGGTACAGCATACAAGTTAGCCTCCGCTTTTTGCTCGTGTTATTGCCTTCTATACGTCGCTTCTCCTCTTGTAAGATGTAAGTTGCTGTTTTTTTTGTCTTTTTTTTCCCTTTTTTTTTTTTTTTTTTTNTTTTTTTTTTTTTCTTCCTATTTTTTTGTTCTTCTTTCGAGTTTGTATATGTTTTTCCTCGTCTTTTCTTTTTTCTTTTTCCCCTACTCGTATTTTTTTTTTCGTCTGGTGTCCTGTTCGGATGATCTCCTGACGATTTTTTTTTTGTAGTTTTTTCCTGGTACTGTGGTCCAATGATGAGCTTTTTCTGTCTTTTTAGTTTTTTCCTGTTACTTTGGTCCGTCATTATGGCTGTATTTGAGGTAATTTTCAGTCTAGATACAGCGATACTTTGTGTTATCTTGGTGAAGGCGGAAGGCGGTAGGACGATCTACTGTCAGATTCACGGATTGCCTGGCTTGATTAGTCCATCACGAAATTGAAAAGTTGCGGTCGTCCTTCGGGACATCCGTTAAAATTGGAAAATTCGAACGATACAGATAAGAAGATTGAAATTGGAAAATTGGCATGATACAGATAAGGGGGTTAAAACTGGAAAATTGGAACGATGCAGTTAAGAAAGACGAGCAGGGCCAAGGATACGGAGTAGATTACCGATATGCAGTAGATTAGCATGGCACCCTGTGCAAGGGTGATTTTGAAAAAAGAAAAAAAAGGAAAAACAAAAGAGGAGAAAAAGTTGCGGTCATCGTTTTGGGCCAGTTGTGGGCACTTGTGGCCGACCTAGAGGTAGAGCAAAAGTCATGTTTGGAGATTTGTTCCTTTTTCTATGTCGCGTTCTAACTATTTTTTGAGAAATTTCCTCTTTTTGAACAACTTCTTTCAACTTACTATTTGTTGATAAATTTCTTCTTTTTTAATAACTAATTTCACATGCAAGTTGATGTAACTAATTTTAAGTTTTTATTTTTTTGTTCCCGTTATCGTTGTGTGCGTTGTTGATTTGTGATGCGTTCTGGTTTTCCCCTTGTGAAGTACATTGTGCGGGGAGGACGGGATCTGTTCCACTTGCTGTCCAAGGCATTCCAGGGTATCAAGAAGATTGGCGTGATTGGCTGGGGTTCACAGGTTAGTAAACGATTCCACAATTTTTTTCACTGTATTCTTCAACTACGTCCCAGATCATATGTTGCCAAAAGCACGAAAATTTCATAACTACATGTCGCATAAAGAAAGCAAGAAGGTCCTTTGACAAATCTGTTAAAATTGTAGAGAGAAAGAGAAGATAAGCATTGCTCCTGCGCAAGGATGACACGCAGAAAGTGAGAAATTGCCCGAAGAAAAGAAAGTTAGGGGCAAACGAAACAGTGAGGAGGAAAATAAGCACTTGATGATGTGTGATTTGTCGTGCGGCTAGTGCTGAAAATATAAACAATTTCAATAACAACATAACCTGTGATACTTACGATGTATTATGCGGCTAGTGCTGAAAAGATAAACAATTTCAATAACAACGTAACCTGTGATACTTATGATGTATTATGCATACGGCACTGCTGTGGTATGTACCATGTTTCAGTATCTGTGTGTCCGTTGTCGTCCTCACCATCATGTTATACTGGAACAGAACAGAGGCACTCGCCTCATGGGTTGATCGATTGCCAGACTGGACTGGTAATTGCCTTTAGGGAGAAGGCAAATTTTGCGCAACTGTCGTGACTTGTGTGCTTTCGTGTGACTCTGATTTTCTCTGAAATTCTAGGGACCAGCTCAGTCGCAGAACCTGAGGGATTCTTTGGAGGCTGCGAACTCCGACATCGTTGTCAAGGTGAGTTAGCTTCTTTTTTTTTTTTTTTTTTTTTTTTTGGTATCGGTTGTTATTTCTGATATCTGTAGATATGGTGTTTTGTAATTACCACCTCCGATGGTTGTGTTGTTCAATTGGGGTTGCCTTGGGAATGGTTGGATCTTCTATCTGTAGAAATGGTGTTTTGTAATTACCACCTCCGATGGTTGTGTTGTTCAATTGGGGTTGCCTTGGGAACGGTTGGATCGTTTTTGAGTAATTGGGACCAGTGTACCATAAGTGCGATGGTCGATGACAAGTCAGCCGGAAATTTGGAGTCGTTTCGTTTGATTCTATACCAGCTGATCCGGGAATGACCATGCATAGATTACGTCTATTTGTTTGGTCTGTGCTAATGACAGCTTTTCTGCTTTGATTGTCACTTCCAGTAGCGATGGTCAATCACAAGTCTTTCTGACCAGCTTGTCGGGTATGTCATGCTGTGTACGATGGTGATGATGGAACATCATAAGATGGTGGCAATGATGATATCGCAGGTGGCTATGTTTCTAGTAGTAGATGACAGTGATGATGATTGGATGGGTGGTATTGGGAACGAGTGCGGTGATGAGCTTGCTGCTGTTGATAATGGTGGGATGATGTGGATTGTGTGTTTTTCTTTTTTAGTGATGAGGTTGCTGATGTTGCGAGATGATTCGGATTGCGTTGCGTTGATGTGACAGGTTGGGCTGAGGACCAATTCCAAATCGCGAGTGGAGGCACGGAATGCAGGTTTCACAGAGGAGAATGGAACCCTCGGAGACGTGCTAGAAGTAGTTAAAGAGAGTGATCTTGTTCTGCTGCTCATATCTGATGCTGCACAGGTAAAGAAGAAGATACTGATGCAAGCAATTGTATACCCTTCTCCCAATGTGAACTGTAGCATTATCCGATCCGTCTAGCTGGAAATGGAAGATGCTCTTTGGCCGTATGCACTAAGAGGCCCTCTGCAGCCCCGACGTCTTTCAACTGTATTTTCTTTGTGCCACTTGCCTTGTGTCTCTGTTCTGTTGCCCTCTCCATCTCTCACATGCTCCTGGGTGTATGTGTTTCCTTGTAGTACTGCTATGTCCTTCTGTTTTTTTTTTTTCCCACAGCGCTTTTGGCGGCACTCCTTTGCCTCTCCGTTCCTCTTACCCCTTCTTCCCTTTCTGTTTTCTCTTTTGTTTCCTGTCCATCGCTTTTGCTTTCGCTTTCGCTTCAGCTTCAGCTTCAGCTTCGTGAAAAGTTACAATGCAATCGTGATGGTCGCATCGTGCTTGTTCTGATAGGGTTTGCACGTGTGACTTATCATGAGGTAGCGGGGTGGCTGCATGGGGTGAAGTTGATACACCGGGATTTCACTGCATGCATCTGTCTGCAATTGCGACCAAATTAGTTGAGTAAGACACCCCAGTCCAACCGTGGCTGGGCACTGTCTACCACCCATTTAATGGGCTTGGCAAGTTGAGCAAATTTTCAGTTTCTAGACTGAATGCTCTCGCTGACATGTGTTATCTGACGATGCAGGGTGGTAGTCAAATGCTTGTGCTTGTGGTGATGGCACAGCTAGCGACTATTTTTTTATGAGCGCGTCTTCTAGCTGCTAGCCAAATGCGAGTTTGGGTCTTTGGACTGCATGTGCCACAGCAATGATTGATGTGGGGCGATAGGTGTATGATGGTTGCACTCATGATGCTAGTGAAGTCGGGAACTGTACCCTCTTTCCCCGAATATAACAAAGGTGCACTGGTGCAGTAGATTGCAGTTTCCCTTGAAAATTCGATTTTCTGAAGTCGGTTGTGAAGACTGGAATATAATGCATGTACGTTATGACGCATGTACGTACATTGCATTCGAACAGACCGTAATGTCTATTGGAATAGACTCCTCTTTATCTTTAGAATCACCCTTAAGTAGCGAATTTGGCCATCTTTTTTTAATTCTGTTTTTTGTACTCTATAACAAGTTTATATACATAGTGGATCGATATGACACACGGGGGTGGGGGCAGCCGCCGCTCAACCTACATCCACGTGAGTGGCCTTGTACACAAGAGGTTCTGAACAGGGGGAATTATAAGGAAGAAGATAAAAAACTGAATTCGTTTTTTCTTGTTTTTCTTTCTTTTTTCCTTTTTGTTCGCATTTGCGCTCTGATACTCTTGTGACAATATATATATGTCGGCAAAAAGGGAGAAGAGGACAACAAACAAGGGGCTGTGACGGACTGTTCCGTCGGAGTGTCACGGAGACTGAAATGGTATTAATGTATGTATGTAATTTTTAATTAATGTATGTCTTTTTGTTTTTTGAATGGGTCTTGTGGGAAACTTAGTACCTGGGTTTTGAATATAGTGCACGGTTTGTTTGATTTGAACACAACATAACTCGTATGCGTGTTCATACGTAACGTATGAGTTCGGGGGAAGACGGTAGCTGCAGGGGTGCCCTGCTCTGCCCATTAACCCGCCAAGATTATGATTGCAAAAGAAGTTTGTTGTGGTTATTTTGGAGTCCCGCTGTTGTGTAATAGTCGCTGCAGTAGCACATATTCTCCTTGGCCTGACGACCTGCATCCACTAATGTCTGTCTTGTGCTGTCTGGTATCATCCCCATCTTCTCTCTGCTTACAGGCGGATGAATATGAAAGTATCCTTGGCGCGATGAAGCCAGGCTCATGCTTGGGATTGTCCCATGGTTTTCTCCTGGGACACATGAAGTCTGTCGGAGACGACTTCCGGAAAGACATCAGTGTCGTTGCCGTGTGCCCGAAGGGAATGGGTCCTTCCGTGCGAAGGTTGTATGAGCAGGGGAAGGAGGTGAACGGCGCTGGAATTAATGCCAGTTTTGCAGTCCATCAGGTATGGATCATCATCTTTTCAACCCACATGGCCCAATTGTCAAATTCCACCTGCTCATAGATTTTGTCTTTTCTGCATGTGGTAGAGTACGGTCGAGTGATCTGGATGACCTCTCCCTGTATAGTAAGGTACATCAAATTCGTTTATGGTTCTTTTGCTAAGTTCCACACGCACCTCCGGGCTCAACCAACCTCTTCCCAAAACATCGTAAAGCTAAAGTTACATGTTCCTTCCCCCAACCCCTTCCCCCCCCAAAACACACACACACACACACACACACACACACACAACCCCTCCCCTCTCCTTATCAGAATGTACCAGCGATGTGCAATACACACATACAGATTATGTGCTTGCAAGTAGTCCTTATACAGTACAAAGGTTATATCCTTCCTATGCCAATAAGAATTATATGATCCTGATGGACAATGCAGATATGCTTGGCATTTTACAATCCAAAAACCCGTGGCATTTTTTTAACTATTCAGCGTTCTGTCTCGAACGTGTAACACTCCCAGACGGGTCAACACTGCGTGCCTCCTGGATGTTTCTGCCGGGCCAGTGGCTTGTCAGAGGCATTCTGGCAATGGCCAAATTTTTATGGGGTAGGCCAGCAATGATTCGTTTTTCTTTTTCGTCAAACTATATTTGCCTTTGCCACCCTCATCTGCAGGTTATCTGTAGTTGAGGTACACCTGCTCTCTGCTGTTTGCCTTTCCTATCTTTGTCTGCTGTAGCTTCGTCAGCCGTGCATTTGTGAATTTGCATTGCGAGTTACAATAGCAAAACAAGAAATCGGACACCGCCGCATGTTTTTGTACTGTTTTGCTACGCCGAACTCGATAGCCTCTTGGTAGTCGTTTTCAGACTACCCACCACGGGTAGGGTTCTACCCGCTGACCGGTCGTTTTCGGATTGGAATCATTGGACTAATGACATGGTTGTGGAAGTTTTAGCCATTGGAATGACAATTGGGAAATCTGTGCTATTAATTAATATGTTGAAACCGCATGATCGTCTCCTTTGTTCTCTCTTTGCATCTTTAATTGAGCTCAGGTGGACTCTGTTTTTGGGAATGTAATGTTGGTGTGCCGTTTGTGAGAATCGTAAGTGTCTCACAGGGAACTGGTGGATGTTGTTTGATCAACTGTTATTTTCTAATAGGATGTGGATGGGAGGGCGACAGATATTGCCCTTGGCTGGTCGGTTGCATTGGGATCTCCATTTACTTTCCGGACGACTCTAGAGTCCGAGTACAAGAGTGACATCTATGGCGAGAGAGGTTTGTGCAAGCACACCTTGTGCCCCTTGCATCCATCCACGAGCGGTCGCACTACCGTCTTTCAACCGAATACAACATACAGTCCTTATAACTGTATTTTTGGGGCAACTTTGAGTCTAGATACTACAATTATGATTGTACGACATTGTATTCGGGCGAAGACGGTTATAGTACAGATCATTTTCATAGATTTCATCTCTGTGCTTCTTTTGTCTGGCTTCTGGGTTTGGTGTTTTGCTCTTTTCTATTTTCCCCCTTTTGTGGTGAACTTGGTAGTCTATTTTCATGTGCAGTTGCAAATTGCAATGTTGCATGAGCAGATTATTATTCCATTTGCGAACAGGCGCAGTTGCATGCACGGTTGTCTGCGAACCAAACGGCTTTGCATTTCTCGTGTGCTTTTCCCTGCATTTTTAATCTTCTTAGGTTGATGACGATTGATGATGATGATTGATTGATGATGATGATCTTTTGGTTGCTTAGTCATATATGTGGTTGAAGTTCGTGCTTTTGCATTTTGAACACCTCCCTGATACTGGTCATCCCAACTCTTTTTAACTCGTCGGCGAAGGATGAGGCTGACATTGTGGCTTGGTGTAATAGGCATTCTCCTTGGGGCTGTTCATGGTGTTGTCGAGGCGTTGTTCCGACGATACACGGAACAGGGCATGTCAGATGAGGATGCATTCATGATGATCTTTTGGTTGCTGAGTCATATATGGGATCGAAGTTTGTGCTTTTGCATTTTGAACACCTCCCTGATACTGCTCATCCCAACTCTGTTTAACTTGTCGGCGAAGAATGAAACTGACATTGTGGCTTGGTGTAACAGGCATTCTCCTTGGGGCTGTTCATGGTGTTGTCGAGGCGTTGTTCCGACGATACACGGAACAGGGCATGTCAGATGAGGATGCATTCACCAACAGTGTTGAAAGCATCACGGGTGTCATCTCGCAAACCATCTCTAGGAAGGTATGTATCATATATCGGATCAGATTGATTCCTCTCTGAACTTGTCTGTGCTAGTGAGCGATCAGTGCATTGTTTTTTCCGGGGAGGAGTTTCAAGTGCATTGTTTACTGGGAAGGAGTTTCTAAACCCAGTTTGGATCATCGGCACACAACGAATGCATTCGCCAACAGTGTGGAAAGCATCACGGGAGTTACCTTGCGAACAGTCTCTAGGAGGAGGGGGGAGGGTCCAAATCGAGTAAAATTGATTCTTCTCTGAACTTTTAGTGAGCGCTCTGTGTGTTGTTTTCTGGGAAGAGTTCCCTAAGATTGCCAGGACACAACGGAACTGTGTATTTTCCCGTCACCTCAGGTGGATGAACCCCTGTTGGGTTTCCCTTGTCCATCAATAACTGTAAGTCCAATCCCACCTAATTACGAGGTCGATCCCAATTACTTGCTCTCTGTTGATGTGCTCTCAGGTTGGTTTCCCAAATTCTTGCACTGATCTGGTTTTGCACATTTACAAGGGGTTGATTTTATGTCGAAACATCACATGCTTGCAGATGTGGGGTAGGGTTTTAAGCAAAACACACGAACCGAGAGCAGTTGCAAATATCTGGCACAGCGGCGCACTCATCATTAAGAAAGCATGAGCTGTTATTAACACATTATGAAGTTGTTGATTTCCACGGAGAATTTGATTTCCTGGCTGTGCTAATTGCATGCGAATTAGTACAGAGAAGCATGTTGCCGATTATTACTCGAACAAGCAATTGCACCAAAGATTAGATAGGCCGTTGAAAGTAGCAGCTTCTGTTTATGAAAGTGCATCTTTGATTGCACAAGAAAATGCAACAAATTGGGACAAAATATCATTTTGTCAAATCTGTAGATCTATTTTCCAACAAATTGAAAAATGCAATTATGTGAAAGGAATTCGCTTCAGTTGTTCAGGTCGAAACAATAATGCAGAGATTGACTGAATGTAGAAAATATAGTCACAATTGACTCTGTTTGTTGTACAGACTCTTCACCTATACAGACATATGTTGGTTTCCTGTGGATTATCCACTGTATAGTATTATTCAAATTCATTCAACAAATAGATTAGGACTTTCCCGCATATAGTGAAGGAATAAGGTCAGAGATCATTCGTCTGACATGGCAATGAGTTTACCACTTTCATTGGCGAAGAACCGGACCCTTGAACCCTCGACCTTGTACCATTACTGATGGGGTAGGAGTCCGTAGGACTGTGCTCTCACCATATTCACTACAGTCATCTGTGAGAACTTAGGTGTGAGCCGTACTGGTTTCTTCAGCCCTCTTTTTTATGTGTAGGTGCTGTGTACCAGAGCAGTTAAACAACGATTTTTCTTTTTTTAATTGGTCTCAAGACTTCTACTGTAGCGGGATTTCAAACTCGTGGGCTTCATTTTTTGAGTTTTTTATTACCTCGAGGCGTACCCTTGCCACTAGCATTATGTGCAAATGTTGTGCTTTGTTCCAAATGAATTGTGCACAGCATTCTCACTGCCGCCCACCTCCCCCCCTCTTCTCCCTCTGTTGCTTCTTCCCCGGTTCCAGTGGCCTTCTTCAAGCTCTATCTCTGTGCCTCCTGCACCCGGATGGACACCTTTTGTCTTTTGTCCTTCCTCCCTCCCTCCCTCCCTCTGTCTGTGAAAGGGAAGAAGTGGCCATAGTCTCTTTGAGGAATGTTTTGCTCCTATGGAGACCAGTCAGTTGCGGCACCTATGCTTGGCCATGTTCATGCACATTTATTTTTTGTATGATCATGTGTCCTTCGTCCTAACTTTGTGATTGGCTGTGCAGGCGTATGGACTGAGGAGGTACTGTTCGTTCCTTGTGTGCAGGGGATGCTTGCTGTCTACGAGTCCCTGAGTAAGGAAGGAAAGCGCGAGTTTGAAGCAGCCTATAGCGCATCATATCTTCCCGCTATGGACATTCTCTATGAGTGCTACGAGGATGTTGAGAGTGGTAATGAGATCAGGAGTGTTGTTCTTGCAGGGCGCCGGTTCCGGGTGAGTACGTGGGACAAGGTAGCTGCAACCTCTGCATGCTTTGTGTTTCCTTTTTTTTTTTTTCTATTTCTTTCTGCATCAGTTGGTGATGCAATGACCATACCATCTAAACTGAGAACACATTGGATGTGCTCAGGATAGACCCTACCTTCTGCCCCCGAACATAACACGTGTTGTATTCGAGTTTTGGAATTTGAAAAAAAAAAATGAATAGAAGGCATATGTGTTGTATTCGAAATTCAGGGCTATTCGAATAGAACGCATATGCGTTGTATTCGAATAGAACACGCCCTGTGTGTTGTATTTGTTTACATATGTTCGGGGGAAGAAGGTAGTTTGGTTGTGCAGAACTTGTGTGTTTTTTGTTTTTTTTTGAATGGCAACTGATTCACTTATGGGTATAGGCGAGCTTGGTCTCAGTGTTGCTACTGGTGATTTATATGTTTGTGGTAATAAGATTGGTTGCTATTTCGCCGTTGCGGTCACTGATAGTGGACGTGCTGAATCCTTGGACAGGAGAAGGAGGGCCTCCCAGCCTTCCCCATGGGCAAGATTGATCAGACGAAGATGTGGAAGGTTGGTGAGAAAGTGCGGGCTGCACGGAAGGAAGGAGCCTTGGGACCTCTGAATCCATTCACTGCTGGTGTTTACATTGCAGTAATGATGGCTCAGGTGTGTTTACAATTGCCTCTTGCGGACCTTGGAGATCGTCATAGACTTTATAATTGTTAATGTGTTATAAGAGATGTAATGATGAGTGGTAGATTTGACATTTCACAGTGATGATGAGACATTTCACAATGATGATGATATTGATCAATATTTTGCGGGCTGCGCTTTGTGGTGGTTTATTCTATTTGCCTGTCTAGAAAGGGACTTTTTTTTTTTCTTTTTTTTTTTTGTTGGCAGAAGGTGACTGTTGATTCTTTTTGCCTGTCTAGAAAGGGTCCTGCTAGCTCTGCCGCGCTGTTTCCATATTTCGAAAGAGAATCCTTTTTATGCGGTTATTGGAGATGTGAGCTGGACATAATCTGGGCTTGGTGTGTTTGTTAAAGTATCGCGTTGTGTACTGCGCAATGTTACGAGCAAATGCAGTGCCGGAACGTGCTGAATGAAGAAGAGATGTGGATTGTGTGCGCGTTCCTCTATCCTACGGGGTTACTCCGCATGTGGTTTTCTGTTTTGTGCAGATCTTAAGTGTAGAGAAGTTAATGCACAACAATTGCACCTTGCTTGTGGAATGCTGTAGATTGTCAAAAAGACTACTATATTGAGCTTGTGTGTTTTACCTTTTTCTAGTTTATGGTTTGCTGTAGTCTGTATTGTTGGCGAGTGCGAACTGATGTGCTGTTGTATGTGCAAAGTGTTTGTCGAATACAGGACTCGAACACATGACTCTTGGCCCCGGCAGGCAAACACCTAACCATAAGGCCAAGTGGGGTGGGGTGAAACTGAAGCCCCAAGTTGAGCACTTCATGCCACCCCAGCACGGAGATCCCGCGACACGGTGTACCCAACCACACTCATCCTACACAGCCAAAGAATGGAAACTGTTGGAGGCTGCTGAGCGGGTAGATTCTGACACATGAATATGTGTGTGTGATTATTTTGGCTGTGATACACAATATGGTCTCTTCATGCAGATCGAGGTGCTGAAGAAGAAGGGTCACTTGTACTCGGAGATCGTGAATGAGAGTCTGATTGAGGCTGTCGATTCGCTGAATCCGTACATGCATGCAAAAGGCGTTGCGTACATGATTGACAACTGCTCAACAACTGCGCGCCTGGGGGCAAGGAAGTGGGCGCCACGGTTCGACTACAATCTAACCCAGCAGGTGAGCTTCTGTTTTCAGCTTTTGCATTTCGCCCATGGTGTTTTTCAATCCAACCTGAAACATCTTTTGCTGTTTGTCTTTCACCCACTCGCCGCTGCCTAAGGCAAAAGAGATACATTCCAACTTGAAACATCTTCCTCTGTTTTCCTTTCACGCACTCGCCCATTCCCAAGGCAAAACAGATAAAAGTATCATAAAGAGGGAGAGAGACGAGGAAATGTTGAACTAGCCGAGTTGGTACATCCATGAGCTGTAAAGATGCGAGTTGGAAGTAATTCTGTTCTGAATTAACCTGGGACCAATCAGCTCGATGATGATATCTCAAGGCTGTTAGGCGTGCTATAAGTGGAAATGGTGAAGCAGATCCCACAGCACCTTTATGGAAAGTGAAAGGATGCTCCACAGTTGTTGAGCATCCTCAAGGCTGTTTCACTTTCACTTCATGGGAAGTGAAAGGATGGTATCTCAAGGCTGTCTCACTTTCACTTTATGGAAAATTAATGGAAAGTGAAAGGATGCTCCACAGAGTTGGAAAGAATTCTGAATTTGTGTACGATGACTTCCTGTTGCCAGTTCATTTAGTTCATTTTTGTGGGGAGGTATCTAGAATGGGCTTACGGCTTTGTTCCACATAATGGGCTTTTACGGGTTCGGTCCGCAGACTCCACACCACAGTGCAGACGGTCGGGGTCTGCTGTCTGGGTATGGGTTGCAGATGTCCCGACAACGGTGCAGATGGTCTGGGTCTGGATGTCCGGTTCAGAGTGTCTGC